CGGAGGTGAGTTAGGGTGGCCGGGGCACATTTTTAGGGACGGCATGGCCCGCGCCAGAATGCTGCCCCTAAAAATGTGCCGCCCCAAGCCCCAAGCACCAGCTTGTTTTGCTGGTGCCTAGAGCCGGCCCTGGCTATAGTATTTGTGATAAAACGGATCTCTCTTTTATTGCTGACTTTCCAGGCTTCAGGAGTTTTCTTCTTTGCCTGCTCTTACGGAGCCCAGTCTGGGGAGCCATTCAACGTTAGATAGTAACACGGAAGAGGTCCATGAGACGATGGCTGTGGAAGGGACCTTGGGCCTGGGAGGGATGCTATGAGCAATGCTCCTGCCTGCACTTCTGCTGCTGTTTGTGCAGTGCCGTCTCAGCAGCTATAAATGAAGCCTCCCTCCCTGCTGAGAGCACAGGAAGACTGCAGAGAGGGGGTAGCTAACTCTGCAGTGCTGGGCTAGTTGCTAGACTGGGTTGCTGAGATGCAGCCACTATAGTTCCCAAGGCCTGGAATTTTCACACAAAACAAGCCCTTCCCCCTTTCTTTTCGCTCTCTTTGGCAGCCCCCCATCTCATCCACTAAGCTGCAGTATGTGGGGGGGAGGGGGAAGGGGGAGAGTGCTTCCTCACACACCCAACCCCTCCCTACCCACACCCCTCTCACTAGTCATGCCACTCTGAAACCTATTACCCTGTAGCTAACTCACTGCTCTGTGAAGGGCCCTTCCTCCATTGTCTGAGACGAACTCACACTAGTAGCACCAGAGGGCTGAAGAACAAAGCGTGTTGCTGTCTCCGAACTCAGCTGTACCTGGTGGAAAATTTCAGAGATTCCAAGGCCAGAAGGGATTGTTGTGATCCTCTAGTCTGACCTCCTGTATAACACAGGCCAGCGAATGTCCCCAAAATCATTCCTAGAGCAGAGCTTTTAGAAAGACGTCCAAGCTTGATTTAAAACTTGTCAGTGATGGAGAATCCACCACGCCCCTTGGTAAGTTGTCTTTGTAAAGTGCTTTGAGATCTACAGCTGAAAAGTGCTCTCTAACAGCTAGGTATTGAGTGTTGCGCTAGCCCTCTGAGCAGTGGAAATTTCACCTCTACGTCATTAAATCCGAAGTAAGCTGAATGCGCAGCGAGCCAATCACTCGAACAAAAAGAAAATCAGCCCGACAGAAGGTCTAGAGCAAAATACCG